CTTGCCAGTATCTAATCTAAAGGAAGCTGATAAACCCATCCATTCCAGTATTAACTCCTTGTGTCCTGTGATGTACGATCAAGAAATTAAATATGAAATTCCTCTTTAAAACTGACCACACCAAGCACTGAAGCAAATTCATGCTAGCATGGGACAGTTTGCATCCCTGCATGACCCAAAAGCATCCATGACCGATAACAATGGCTTACAAGTCCGGTAAACAACTAACCCCCACAGGTAATCATAAAAGTATCCCATTATTTAGTGGGTCGCCTGAAAAACCTTGTGGAGTTCGCTAGTATTCACAGTGGTGGCTAAACATCCACATGGTAAAACTTGGCAAAAGTTTGGACAAAAGGTTTAAGGGGTGGCCCGCAGATTTGGCAAATCAAAGCCTGATATTGGTAAGCCCAAAAAGTACTAACACTACTATTAAAGTGAATCCTAACTGGGAGATTGGGGAACTTTACCCCTCAACTCAGAGGCCAGAGTGATAGTTTACTGAAACCACCTTGCAATGACAAACAAGCTGCCAACCTCATAAGGGGACACTTAGTAATGGTGTCATGGGGCCAGACTAGCAGATGAAAGCTGTAGCAATGAGGTAAACTAACAGCTCAGACCATGCCCAAAAAGAGGAAAGAAATTAATTTAGGATGCTTTGGCACAGGACATAAGGATGGTAAAACAATGTCCTGGTTAAGCTGGAAGGCATGGACCATCTTAGGACAGGAGGTCTGTACAATCTCAAAGTGCTCAGACAGTCTGCCAGGAGTTTGACTACATCAAGGTAGAACAGACACATGGGCCAGTTGAAAGCAATGAGGATCCTTGGATTGCCCTCTGTCTCAATCCTGCGAGAGAGGCAAGGCAAACTTTCCAAAGGAAAGGCATAGATCAGGTTAAACTGATAGTATTGAGTAACCAGAAATTCATGGCGAAGGCCTGGGGATTCCTGGTCCTGTCGCCAAACCTTTGCTTTGGGGACACTGAACAGGTTGGGGTAAATCCCTGGAACTGTTGCGCTCCTAGTATAGAGACCATCACCCCCTGGGAAAGAAGCTAACCTAGGGCAGCAAGAAGATCCAGTTGTCTTTGAGATCATGGTAGGTTTAAAAGTAGGAAGCGAGAGGAAGACAGGGAGCAAAACTCTAGCAACACAGGTTACAACACTCTGGCCCAAGCGCCCATAATGTCTCAGACACAGATCAAGAAGGTAGACATACATATGCATACTTAATGAGGGTGCCCATGCATTGTCCCTGGGTTAAGTGGCTTTGGAGGGACAGGGCTTATGATTAAATAAAAAGCCCTGGCTTAGATTTTGATTCTGAGGCTTAGTAAGGACAAAAGGGAGCAAAAGATTTTGCTGCCAAGGTTTGGATGACCTCTTCTGTGGTGAAAAGATACTGTTGAGCACATTTGTTCAGTAAATCCTTTGACACTTCTATCATGAAACTACCAGGGCTTAAGTAAAGGGCATGTGTTCAAGGCACTTCTTGCAAAGGAGTTTAGCAGTCCAGCACAGAATCCACTGCATGTGGACAGAAGGGAGACCAAACCTGGAGATTTGTCTGAGGATATTCACCAGTAGCACAAGGTCACAAGAAAGAGCTCAATGTTTGAGAAGAGGGGGGTTAACAAAGATGGACGCCGTGTCCCTAGTCATAGACTTTGGTCAAAGAAATAAGGTCGGACACATCACCATGGTGGCAACGGCAGGTTGCACAGCAGGGCCTGCAAGGGAAAATAAGTCCTTAACCCCTTAGTGACCAGTGACATCCATAGTACGTCACTGGCACCGGGACCGTTTAAACAGACGCCGGGACCCTGTTTAAACTTGTAAAGCCGACTGCCGGCTTTACAGAAGAAGCGATTAGACTCAGTTGTCGCCCGATCGCTTCACCCCCACCCCACAGCCCCGCCGTGTTTCCCGGGCTCCGTTGCCCCTCCTACGGGCCCAGCTTCCCTGGTGTTGGGAAGAAGCTGGGGAGATGAGCGAACCTCCATTCACTGATCCTCTCCCCATACTATGGGACTGGGAGCGAAGCATATTACACTTCCGGTCCCATAGCTGTCAGTTGGACTCACGCACAACACAGAGTAGCCACTAATGACAGTGGAATCAGTGCCGTTCTGTCATAGGAAAAAGTCCAGCCTCTCCCATACACGGAGGCTGTTCAACATTGCAGCCAGTATGTGTAAACTGCCCCATGAGAAGCAGCATCGACTCAGGCAGCCAGGTGTGATGGAGTAGAGGGGGGGGGGGGGGGGGTGTGGGGGTTACCA